CTTTTTTTTTCATTTTATAAATTTCAAAGGGAGAAATGCTACAGTCCCGTTACGGAACTATTCCGTCCAGATTTGTAACGTGAATAGTTGATCTAACGGTTACAAACCCCGACAGAATATGGTTCCGTAACAGGACGTAGAATCTCCCAAAGAAAGGTATTAGCATTATTTTCATCTCATATGATATGATAAAAAGCATGACTAAATTTGATTAGGTACAATCAATTCCCAACCAAAAGGAATTAGATTTTGAGAATTCATTGAAAAGCTTAAACCAGAAGCTAGCTTCACTTCTTGATGAGTGTTCAGCCAAAGACAAAATCATTCAAGAACTCGAAAAATGGTCCGAAAATGCTGCGGCAGGTGACGAATTGTCGATTATTCTGAAATTCTATTCGTAATTTTGGATCAAACTATGCTTATATATACATATATCTTGTTTTCTAGACAAGCTCGAAGCGGAGAACGAATCGCAACGTGTAAAACACGAGCTAGACGAAACTCGAAAGCAAAATATGGCTTTAAACGAGCAAATGGCCAACTTGAACTCGGCCCTCAAGGACTGCATGGACCAACTAAATCGAGCCCGCGAGCAAGAATTCGAGAGAGCCCGTATAATGCTAGAAGAAAAAATATCCGAGACAAGCAAGAGCCTCGCGAGCCAGACTTCGGAGAATTCCTACCTCACGAAAGCCCTTCTCGTGAAGGAAAAACTGATCGACGATCTCAATCGCGCCAAGTGTCGGAAGGAGGCCGAGTTCGAGGCCTTGATGACGAGGCTCGATTCGACCGAGAAGGAAAACGCTTTCTTGAGGTACGAGTTTCGAGCCCTCGAAAGCGAGCTCGAAAAACAGAACGAGGAAATGGAGTGCATTCGCCGCTCGGCCGAGGCACGTGTAAAGCAGAATTCGGAAAATATCAAGAAAGTAAAGAAATTGGAAGCCGAATGCCAGAGGCTACGCGTTTCGAGACGAGCGGGCCTCCTGCCGGGCAGGGCCGATATTTCCTTGTTGGGCCGAATTCGAGATTTGGAAAATGAAAACAGGGCTCTCAAGGAAAGCTTGGCACAAAAAGAGGAGGAGATTTTGTATCACTTTTATGCCAAGAATTCAGACAGACTTTCTCTAGCAAGCTCCCGATCGTGGGCCGATAAGTTTGCTGATGACCCGGAAAACAGGCCCGAATGCAGAACGATCGGAGCTTATTATAATAATCGTCCCGATATGAGCCTAATGGACGATTTTGTCGAGATGGAGGAGAAACTAGCAATAGTCACGGTAAATGACGATTGGATTCGAGATGTTAAGAACATAATCTCAAAACAAATCGATATTTCGAAACGAAATGTTGAAGAAATTATCAAAGACATCAGAAACGCTCTCGAAAGCGAGGCCCGGCTCGGAAAAAAGCCAGAGTTAAGCCCGATTAGCGGTTACATTGCATGGAAATCCCCTGCACCATCCGATGAGGATCATGATCATCATCCAACGGTCGTAGATATGTTCCGGAAGCATCTAGGTGGGCCCGGGCCGGGCACTGCCTTCGAGCTCGAGTCGGTACAGATTCTCATGCATGAGATGGAGAAAATGCGCTCGGTTTTGCAAAACGAGGTGATGGAGTCGAAAAGAACGTACGAGGATGAAATTGAGGATCTGAAAATAGCGAATTTGGATTTGGATACTCAGCTAATTGTGGCTCGATCCGAACTAGAAGATGTGTTAAGAAAGCTATCTTCGGTCGAGGTTGAGCTCGATAACAAATGTCGGTTTTGTGAGGAATTGGAAGGGACTTGTGTCGATCTTCAGCTGCAACTCGCGAGGTATTTTTTTTTTTT